TGTGATGTGGGCAACGGGAAGTCAGCGACAGCCCGAAGCTTTTCGGGATCAGGAAGAACACCGTCTCTTGTGATGACATGTCCGAAGATGGTTAGTTTTTCTGCTGCGAAGTGGCACTTCTTGGAGTTAAGTTGTAGGCCCGCAGAAGTTAGACACGTCAGAATCTCGTGGAGGCGAACAGGATGTGTCGGGAAATCAGACGAAAAGACTGCGATTTCGTCCAGGTAACAAAAGCAAGTTTTCCACTTATGGGCACGCAAGATGGTATCAATCATGCGCTCAAATGTGGCAGGTGCGTTGCAGAGCCCAAATGGCATCACTTTGAACTCATATAGGCCATCTGGCGTTACAAAGGTTGTTTTAGGGCGCTCACAATCAGCCATTGGCACCTGCCAATACCCAGAACGCAGACCCAAGGATGTAATGTACTCGGCGCCTTGTAAACAGTCAAGAGCATCGTCTATTCGTGGTAGCGGGTAGACATCTTTCTTTGTAATCTTGTTTAGGCGGCGATAGTCCACGCAAAATCGAACGGTGCCCTCTTTTTTCTTTACCAGAACGACAGGTGATGACCAAGCGCTTTGAGAAGGCTGTATCACTCCACGTTTAAGCATGTCGTCTACTTGCTCCGTAATGACGCGGCGCTCTTCGGCGGAAACGCGGTAAGGACGCTGTCGCAGAGGCGAATGTGAGCCGGTGTCAATAGTATGAGTGACAGTCGTGGTGCGGCCCAAAGCAGGTTCTTGAAAGTCGAAAGAAGAGCGAAACTTGTTAAGGAGAGCAACAAGTTGGCGGCGACGCGAGAGGGGAAAGTCTGCGTCAATAGCATTGTCGAAGGCTCACAAACTTGATGGCTCAGACGCAGAGTTATTGCGGCAATTAGACATGGCGTTTCGTCGGGAAGAATAATATCATCGATATGGTCGACAGGTTGCACATATCTCAACGTTTCACCACGAAGTAAGCCAATGGGGTAGTTGCAGTGGTTGGTAACCAGCATTACGGTTAAACCAGACGCAATTGTAAGAACGGAAAATGGGAGAACGATGCCCTTGCGTTCAGTAAAAACAGGAGATGGCGTAAACACCACCGTGGCGTCAGGTTGCGCCACACATGAAAGGCTTATAGGGACCGAAGCTTCTGGGGGCAAGGTGATGTCGTCATCAGCGATGAGTTTGCAGAGCTGAGGAGACCGGTCGGGTGGTGGAAATTCATATGTTGGCACAAGGGACATTTCGGCACGGGAACAATCGATGATAGCTTCATGACGTGATAAGAAATCCCAACCGAGGATAAGGTCATGAGAGCAAGATGGCAGAACAAAACACTGTACGACGTACAAAACGTCTTGGATGACGACGCGCGCCGTATACAGAGCCGAGGGATGAATGCGTTGCGCGCTAGCCGTGGACAGCACCATGCCACAGAGAGATGTGGTCACTTTCTTCAGTTTCCGACAAAATTTGGCGTCCATCACAGAAACGGCGGCCCCGGTATCAATTAACGCTAATGTGGCGACTCCCTCAACATCGACATCAACAACATTTTTCGGCGAAAACGGAGGCCTTGGGAATTGCGCACAAGTTGCAGTTCTTGCCTCCGGAACTGCACTGATTAGTTTCCCTCCTCAGGAGGTGATCGACGACGCATAGGCGATGGTGACCGGCGACTAGGGGATGGGAAACGAGCAGTCGATGGGCGGCGATCCGAGTCTGAGTGCCTCTGCTCATATGCAGATGCGGTGGCCTGCTGCGGCGCGTAGGTAGGAGTTCCGAAGTATGCGTTGGCAGGTGTGGGGCGACGGCGGCAGAAGCGTGCAATGTGGCCAGCGATGCCACAGGCGAAGCAGATAGGACGATTGTGTTGGGTGCGCCACTCATTAGATCGACAGAAAAAGCGAGGTGAGGGCCTGTGAACTGGAGGCGAGGCCGGAGGATGTGGAGCTGATGAGGCGACTGGATGCGGTGGGGGCCGCGCGACCACAGCTGCGTAGCTAAGAGGTAAAGGTGGTGCAGGTGGTGCGTAGCCGACAGCTGAGAGATTAGGTGCTACTGAAGTGCATGGGTAAGGGGCCTGCACTGTAGGGAGGACATCACAAACTTCCGTGCGTATTGCCTGCTGCAGTGTCGTAGGCAGGCTTGTGGTGGGCGCGTCGCTATGCGGCAGCAAGGAGAGCTGTTGGGCGACTTCCTCCCTGATGAAGTCTTTGATCTGATTGGACAGACTTTCTTGGTAAACGTTGGCATTTGTGAGTGCGACGGCCGAGATCAAATCCGGCGGTGGGACACTCTGTTGGGCGACGCAACGCTGACGGCGCAATTCATAAAAGCTCTGGCAGAGGCTTACAAGGATTGCCACCGTGTTCGGGCTTTTCGCTAGCAACATCTGGGATGCGCCATCCTCGATGCCCTTGAGAATCTGCCGAATTTTCTCTTCTTCGGGCATAGATAGATTCACACGCCTGCAAAAGTCGAGCACGTCCTCTATGTAACTAGTAAATGTCTCGCGAGACTGCTGGGCTCGGTGGCGCAGGCGCTGGTCAGCGCGGAGCTTGCGGACCTCTGGTCGGCCGAACGCTTCAGTGACGAGTGTCTTAAAGGAGGACCAGTTGGCGATGGCGGTTTCGGGGTTTGTAAACCAAAGTTTAGCTACGTCTGCCAAGTAAAAGAAAGCGTAGGCGAGCTTAGAGTCGTTGTCCCACTTGTTGCTGGCGCTTACGCATTCGTACAAGGAGAGCCAGTCTTCGACGTCTTGCTCACCACTGCCGCTGAAGATTGGTGAGTCCCGTTGGCGAGTAGCGCCGGGGCAGGTAGACGAGACAGCTGGTGGTGCTGGCTGGGCTGGGATGGGCTGGTTGGCGACTGCGTCAGTCATGTTTTGCAGTGGTCTCTCGGGCTACTTGCGAGAGCGGAGCTTCAGGTCTGCTTGGGGATCTCAGCAGCCTCCACCAAATGTGATGACGTTTATTGAACAGGAGAAGTCACAATGATGTCGCAACGAAAAATGGCCGTACGACAAGTCTGGCAAAAGGCAGCCCAGGTTCTCGGGCAATCAGAGCACGGGGTTTTTCCTTCTCTTTGAAAGGCGCATACACGTTAGTGCGTATGCTCCACTACAACTTGTACATTTTAACAAAATTAAATCACCAATTGCTGACGGTCAACTAACTGAAACAGTGTCTCAATGTGGCACTAACACAGGCATCAAAAGCACTACCTTTACAGATTATACTTGTGACACAATGTGGTCACTTCAGCATTGGCATGTACAAGTTATGCTTGAAGTTGTGATGTCGCATTTCATGCCATGCCTGCGGTACATGTTTATCCACCGTAACCTAGTTGGCTGTGTTTCGTTTCCTCAGTTTTAGTTCCTGTTTCTGAAGCATTATTCGTGCTCTAACTATCTTAGGCATAATAAATAGCAATAGGTAATTCTTTCTTTATCCTACTTGTCAGGCTATTTCATTCTTCCTATAGAACTTGCTGACTCGTTCAAATGATACTAATATGACAATTTTCATTTCTTCTTTTATTGCAACAAATTAAAAGCCAATCTCTTGAAGAATCTAAAACATCTAGTGCTAAGTGTGAGTGCGCTTAGCATTTGATTTGGTAATGACACTTGGTAATTGAAAGAGGTCAAAACCTTCAAATGCCTTCCTTGAAATCAATTAAATAAATACCAAGATGCTCTTGCAGACATGGAAAAAGTATGCTGTGCAGTGAGCAGAGCATAGTAAAAAAGAATTGTGTCTTGTGGCTATCTATGGCACCCTGTGGCTCGCCAAATACAGCCAGACGTGAAAGTAAGTACACTTAAACATGTCCAGCTCTGTACCTTACTTTAAAAGGCACACTTCTGCATGCTTCAAGCCATCCAGAGGATTCGCGAGCTATCTCTAAGAGGAGAGGAATGACCTTTGATCGAAATAGATGCATATGGAAGGTTATTAGTTTGCCAGTGGCCTGAAGGGGTCAACTGTGCATAGCGGCTTAGGCAAAACTACAGTTGGCCATGGTACATGAAGCTAAGATTTTAAACTGTGAACACTTTATGATGCTTGAGACTTCCTCTCATCGATAAAATGAAGCTTTCACTGGCCAAGATATCTCCACTCCCATAGGACTGATCCCACAAACAATGTTACCATTAATCATAAAATGACCGCTTGTTCAATTTTAGAAACCAAAAATGGAGACATGGCTGCATATCGCTGAAGGATTCAGCCAGACATGACAGTTTCAAACTGTATTGGGGCTGTTGATGTAAAGCACATACAGATTGAGTGTCCTCCGAACTCCTGAAGTATGTACTTCAATGATAAGGTTAGTGTGTATATGTTTTGATGCACTCTGCAAACAATTTCATTCTGTTAAAATTATTGTCTATTGCGAATAAATTTATGTGCCGTTATAAGCACTAAACACATAGTACGTTTCAGTGTGCTGTCTGAATGGTGGCATCAGATGTTCCGATGTGTGGAATATGGTGCTAGGATCTCTACAAAGCACTCATGCACGTTGGTACGTCATACAATATATCAGAGTTGCAGCAAGTATGATAGCATTCTCTAACGCTCTCACGTACTTTTTTTCGATAACATGCATTATAACAGGGCACTCCAGATAACAATAATAAAAATATGCTTAGGAATTTATTCCCACTTTTTTTATCAAGCTCGCTTTGAACTGTTACAAAATAATCGAGAAATAATAGAATTGGTTTCACACCAAAAGTGTTGCTATCGACACAGCTCTCCCTATGTCCCTTTCTCTTCTTGAAGATTGGATAAAATGTTGGTGTATGGGCAGTTATATATTACATTACAGTTTCCATGAATGCATTGTTGAAAGTTACCCTGGTGAATAATTAGAAACACTAGGTGTGAACTCTCATGTTGCAACCCCATTCATTTGGCCTCTCAGCAGATCACCATTTTAAAGTATCTAGAATAATGTTACACAATCCTATTGTATGAACCACTCATTGCAGGGCACATACTTTATTGTTCTTCTTGCCGTGGTCGAGAGTGACTACAAGTTCGTGAACGTCAACGTTGGTGCTTACGACAAACAGAGTGATGGTGGAGTCCTGGAGCAATCAAAGTTCGGGTGTCGCTTGGAGAATGGAAAGCTTCATATCCCGCGAGACCTAGAACTTCCGAACACGTTCCACCCAGTGCTTTGCGTTTTTGTGGGAGACGGAGCCTTCCAACTCCGCAGCGACTTTCTACGGCCATACCTTGGACGAGGGCTAGACGGCGAAAAGCGCATCTTCGATTACCGATTGAGCAGAGCAAGGTAAATTAGACAAACCTGTATTTCAGAGGAAGTGTTAATTTTTCTTCTTCAGTCCTAGTTTGATAACTTGGTACTCAATTCGGCAAATCCGTCGCGGCACTTCGACGTATTAATATCCGCCTAGGCAGCGAGTGCTTGTGCTACACGATGCAGACGAACTGTTGTGAATTTTTTAACATGTATAAACAGCATGGAAAATTTCGGTAGATGTCATTCTTCAAGTCGTCATGTAAGTCGCGTGGCAACTGTTTCTGAGCCATCGTGCGTATTACGTATTCTGCACCTTCACTATAATCCCGATGAAATGAATTTTATGGCCTGTGCAAATTTTCAGCGTGTTGGATTTTTACGACAATATTGCAGTCATCACCAAGCACGAAAAATTGGTCGGCGACTGCAGCAACACTGACAGAAGTGAAGTTACCAATTTTGTCCTGTAGTTTTGACAATGCTCTGGACTGATCTAGTTACTCCTGTGGTGCTGTGGACAAGCTTTGTTTGATGTGATGTCACTATAAAGGACGAACATGGTAGCCGACCTGAGATTATGGTATCTAGTTTACGTTGTCACATGTTCCATTCTCCACTCAGATCCCCAGTATTTGCATTACCATGTTCCTTAAATGTGCATTGTTAAATTTGCTGTTGCTGTCTTGCATATTTTTCGCATGCCACCAAATATTCGCTTTGACTGTTTCGTGGCAGTGCTCCCTCAATTTCGCATTCATATGGTGGACAGAATTCTCGGGCGGGCAGCATGGCTCGTGGGCTCACATCAGTGATTCTCCTTACCTACACCTCATCAGAGAAGGCCAGATGTCATGTGCAACCCTAACCCGTTGTTCATTGGGAGCCCAGAGATGGAAAATCGCGGCTTTTCCCTGTGTCGATTTTGGTAACACGAAGTGGCACCAAAATTTCTGCTACTGTTGTTGGTGATTGTTCCGAAATAGAGCTGAAAGTATATGTTTACCTGAGAGTGATGGGATGGGGATTGAAATGGTAACTCATCAATTATGCTTTTTTCTTTCTTTCTTTCTTTTCCGTGAAATAGGAGGTGTTCTGAGAGCGCTTCGGGATTCTGGTGACCAGGTGGAGAATCTTCGCGCGGACCATGGGCCAAAAACCGAAACAAGCTGAAAAGATCGTGAAGGCCCTCGTTGCTCTCCACAACTTTCTAATGCACTGAGGCACTGTAGATGTTGATGCATCAATCAATCAATCAATCAATCAATAAAGCTTTATTTTCATAAATAGATATATGCAATTACAGGGATTATTTTACATTTTACAGGGATTATGCATATTGTGGCCCTGGCTTTGCTGATTTTGTGGATGGCTTAGGGCAGCGACGGTCTGGCCATTGGCGTGAGCTTCTTGCACAGCCGCCAATGCAAGTGGTTCGTACACAGGCACGCCACTTTGCCAAAACAGCTCGGCAGGTCAGGAACCTGTATGTTAGTTATTTCTTCAGTGAAGAAAGCAAAGTGCCTTGGCAGGATAAGATCTGGTGTTCTTTCAACACAGCGCCCAATGCAGGCCTACCTGCTGCCAAGTAAAGGGGAAATTATTTAGTTATTTGATATGTGGGGTGTAACGGCCGAAAAACACCATATTATTATGAGAGACGCTGTAGTGAAGGGCTCTGGAAATTTCGACCACCTGGGGTACTTCAACGTGCACCCATATCTGAGCAAAAGGGCCTTCATCATTTCTGCCTCCATTGAAAATGCATTTTTTAGTAAAGGTGTTAAAGAATACGTGAAACTGTGTGAACCAGGTAAAAACAATCACCACCATAAATGGGTATGTGCCACACGAATTGTGGCAATCCCACTTTTCGTTATTAGTCAACTAAAGATGATAATGGCTACAGTTGGTCCAACAAATGGCTGTGAAGTCATGGTGGAGTGACAACGACATTGCGTACCAACAACGAGAGAATAATAGGGAAAACAAAAGGCAATGGCAGCTGAGAGAATACCTTGATGGAAGGCTGATGACCACAATGACTTGCCCGTAATCTCTGGCAGGTGGAAACATTCGGCTTCACCGAGACTTTTTCTTCAAAGTTTGGGCAACCATGTGTCTGTGACTGTTTAAATTGTCAACCTCTCTTGCTATCTGGATGATATCATCATTTTCTCACCCACTTTTGATAGCCACCTTCCTCGTCTCTGAACCATACTTGACGCCTTTCGGCGAGATGGCCACATTTTTATTTTTTGTTTGGCCTTTATTCTTTGTTATCTCTTGATACCATGCTTCTGTTTAGCCAACGCCAATCATCACGAAACTCTACAGCATGTCTAGCTGTGGCAATAATAGAGGCACACTTAGTAGGATCTGGCATGTATGGAAATATTTTGTCGATTTTGTGCGGTGGGTAGGAGCGTGGTAGCAGGCATCAACAACCACTGGGTCATCGCAATTTGTCATTGCATTTGACTACTGTAAATAGAGGGGCTGATCTCTTCCAAGAAGCTTCACGAGAAGTGATAATAAGTTTGAAATGAAGCATCAAACTTAGAAACACAGTTCGCAAAAGATAAACAAAGTTTTTATAAAGGCACAGAAGCTGAGAACAGTGGCCAGCGAAAGGTTGTCAGCAATAGAGGAACCAAATACCTGAGTGAGTGCGAAACTATACTAAGAAACTGCACAGAGCGCCCTGGAACGGGGAAAGTGCATGTCAGCAGGTGCTTTTATAACTTCTGCGTCTTCAAGGGGTAACCATGTACTATGTGGATCAGTTGCTGACAAATGGTGCACCTGCCCTGAAAAACGCACACTCACAAAACGCACAAGCAAGCCCTTCAATGTGTGATTGTAATCTGGTTGTAGAAGGCAATTAGATGTTGTGTTAAGGCCACAACACTCTGCCTCAATTTGTGCAGGCGTTGATTAGACAGCACTACGAGCAGGCAGCGCAATAGCAAGTCAAGGCGCACTCTCTTTATAAGTGGCATTTGCTCAGATTAGCAAAATAGGACGAGCAATAGGAAGGCACTGGAAAGTATGACCTACTACAGCATTCCAAGGATCTGCTACATGTGTAATATTGTTTTTTACTGTCATAACTTACTTAGTTGAAATAACTGCTAGTAAATTTGCCTTGTGTTTACATTCAGATAAGAAAAAAGTTATGTGGTATTACCATTGAATAAACTGGGAGGTCTTTCTGTGTTTTGAGTTTCACCTTACGTGTTCAGCATTATTTCCGTTTAGAGTGTTTAGATTTTTGATAGTGACTGGTTATATTAAGCAAGGTACTGTGGATGATGCTTTTATTGTATAATTAAATTCAGTCAAACACTTCTTGTGTCATATTGATTGCAGTGTCCTGCCAGCACAGTACATTGCTCCCAAAAGCTGTCTCAAATACAATAGTCACAAAGCGAAGTTAAAAGAACTTGCAAATCAAAAATAATTCTGAAGGTTTGTAAAGCCAGAAGACATTGAACCAGGTGCTACATGCTGCACTACCACTTGACTATCACATCTGTACTTTATTTGTAGGTTATTGTTTGTCGTCCCTTGTTACTTTGTATCGTATCTTCTAGTGCAGTTTTTTTAGTGATTATTCCAGAGTATATGCCCAGTCCCTGCATTAACAACGATATTCGTGTGCTGGCTAATAATGCGACTTGTGTTGTGTCGTAGCAGACGACGTGGGTCAACTCCATTGCATAAGCTGCTGCTCGGTGCACGATTGCAGCTCTAGTCAAATCGCGATGCCAGGCGCTCCAAGTTTTCCCCCAAGTACGAAACGTCCTAATATTCTATAGAACCCCAAGCATTCAGAAAATTGCACAATAGGCACCTTAGTGTCGTACATACGAGAGGGGGCACTTTCGGTGTAACAACAATGCACTGCAATTGGCAGAATGTCCAGCAGAATAAGTCTCGCTTGTCATCAGAGGCAGAATATTTATTTATTATTTATTTTTATTTATTGGTACCTCAAGGGTCCCGAGGGACATTACAATAGGGGTGGACATCATAGGTAAAGAGAAAAAAATAAACAATATGACAATAAACATTATTACGACTAAAATACAAAGTGTAGATACAATTGGCGGCAAAAATAAGACAATACATTTCACAAATGCAAGCCCAAAGACATCAGTTCATGTATGTTCGATAGTATATCGAAAGCGTGCTGCCTCACGGACAAGTGCAACATCTTTTGGAAGGCCATTTCAGTATCGGGCAGTTCTGACGAAGAACGACTGGTGGAATGTAGTGGTGCGGGTACGGGGTGGAATTACTGCGTTCAGGTGGCTTGTTTGGGATGTATGATGAGTCAGTTGAATCAACCGACTGTCACGAGGCATGGTGTGAAAGAATCTGTGATAGAGTCAAAGGCTTGAGGTGTGGCGATGAGAGGCAAGGGGCACCAGCTCCAGCTTAGACGTTAGAGACGAAACGCTTGCGTGATATGAATACTCAGAAAGGATAAATCTGGCGGAACTGTTCTGGACTGATTGGAGAGCTTTAGTGAGATTAGATTGGTGGGGGTCAAAAAGATAGCAGAGGCATATTCAAGTTTAGGTCGCACGAGCGTTATGTATGCAAGTAATCTTACATGTGACGGCGCCATGAAAAGGTTTCCGCAAAGGTAACCAAGCATTTTGTTTGCTGAATTGATAATGTGGGTTATATGATCCGTCCAAGATAAGTCTTGAGACAGGTGAAGCCCTGGGTACTTGAAGGAATGTACATTAGCTATAATGTTGTTAATAATCATATACACGGAGGGTGCAAGGTTGGGTCGACGATGGAATGAAATGTTCACGGTCTTACTGGTGTTCAGTGACATGAGCCATGGGGTACACCAGTCTTGAATACGAAGGAGGTCTTCCTGAAGAGTACAAACGTCGGGGGAGTTATTGATAGGACGGTACACGACGCGATCATCTGCAAAAACACTTATTTCAGAGGTTACAGTAGATGGCAGGTCGTTTATGTAGATTAGGAGGAGGAGCGGCCCTAAAACAGTGCTTTGGGGCACTTCAGACAGAACGGGTGAAGTGTATGATGTGTAGTTGTTAGCGTACACGAAGTGTTTCCGGTTGGTTAATAAATACTCAATCTAATTGCGAACATGCGGATGAATGTTTAGGCACGACAATGTCAACAAAAGACGAGAATGAGGAACCTTATCGAAGGCCTTTTCAAAATATAAAAATAGAGCATCGATTGGAAGGTTACTGTTTAAGTTTAAATGAATATCATGAATGAATAGAGCAAGCTGAGATTCGCATGAGTGACCCTTCCTGAAACCATAATGATTTAGATGAAAGAAGTTCAGCGAGCTTAGGAAATAAGTAATTTGAGAGTAGATGACGTGTTCCGTGATCTTGGAGCATATGCTGGTGAAGGAAATGGAACGGTAGTTTCCAGGGGAAGACCGGTCACCTTTTATGAAAACTGGAATGTCCTTCCTGTCCTCCAGTCATCTGGCACTGTACCTGTGTCAAGGGAGTGCTGAAAAATAATTCAAAAAATCGCACTGTATGCATATTTTGTACTTTTAGTACTTTCGCGCTGATTCTGTCTATACCGTAGGATGAAGAGCACTTCGGAGAGTCAATGACCTTGACAATGCCCTCTGCCCGAAATTCAATACCCTCCATTCAAGGAAAATTGAAATATGAAAAGTGTAGTAATGCATCTATACTTTCTTTTGTGAATGCTGAACAAAACGCTAGATTCAGTGCATCGGGAACTTCAGAATCAGCAATGATTGCCCCCGTGTTATCACATAGTGAAAAAACACTTTTATTATCAGGCTTAATCGCTTTCCCAAAACGCCGCAGGTTAGACTGCAGCATATTTGGTATGGTAGTTGAATAGCAGTCACGCTTGGCGCGTGCTTCAATGAGTTGTACTCTTTAACGACCTCATTATTCTTGTGACAGGCAGAGGATGAACCAATTCGTTTAGCAACTCGAAATAATCGCTTTTTCATTATTAAGGCCTTTTAAAGATTTGTTAAACCAGGAGAGCGCACTTTTTCATTTATAGTGATAGTTGAGATGTAAAGATTCATTAAACGCAGCACTTTGGCTTTGAATAGTATCCAAATGCTCTTAGTTGAATGCTGCCGACATGTAAGGGCAAGTTTCTCGTGAAAAACAAAGTTCACGGTTAATGCTGGAAATATCCGCTTCGTCGTACAGCGCGAGTACTTTTTTAGATTTCTTGCTTTTTTAGATGTTGCAAGGAAATGATGCATGATTGACGTTGTGGTCG